TTTTCATTTCTTTGAAGCAGGGTCTCCCTGTGGCCCCAGCTGTCCTGGAACTCACTATGTAGACCAGGCTGGGCTTGAACTCACAGAGATTCACCTGCCTCTCCTCCCAAGTGCTGGGACTACAGGCATGCGCCACCATGCCGGCTCTAATTTTTTAATGTAGGCACTTAGAGCTATAATCTTCCCTCTTAGGAATGCTTTTAAAGTGTCTCAGAGGCTGTGTTGTGTTGTATTGTCCTTTTCGTTGAATTCCAGGAATTCTTTTATTTCTTTCTTAATTTCTCCTTTGACCCATTCATTGTTTAGGAGTGTGTTGTTTAATCACCATGAGTTTGTGTAATGACTGTTCATGGCAGTGACAGGGCTTTGTCCAGTGTTGATTTTGAGCTTTATTGCATTATGGTCAGATACAATGCATGGAATTATTTCAATATGTTTTGGATTTGTTGAGGTTTGTTTTGTGGTCAGTTTTTGAAAAAGTTCCATGGGGTGCTGAGTAGAAAATGTACGTTCTTTGGTGCTTGCATAGACTATTTAAAAGATGTCTATTGGGTCCATTTGATGTATGGTGTCATTTAATTCAGACGTCTCTCTGTTTATTCTTTGTCTAGTTGACCTGTCTAATGGAGACAGTGGGGTATTGAAGTCCCCTACTATTACTTATTTGGGGTTAATCTGTGTCTTAAAGTCTTGCAGTGTTGTTTTTATGAATTTGGGTACACCAGAGTTTGGTAAATATATGTTAAGGACTGTAATATCTTCTCAGTTAATTGTTCCTTTAGTCAGAATGAAGTGATCCTTCTTATCTCTTCTGATTAGTTTTACTTTGAAGTCTATTTTGTCAGATATTAGAATTGCAACCCCAGCTTGTTTCTTAGTGCCATTTGCTTGGAATATACTTTTCCATCCTTTTATCTTAAGGTAGTGTCTGTCCTTGAAGGTGAGATGGGTTTCTTGCAGACAGCAAGGAGATGCATTTTGTTTCTTAATCCATTCACTTTACCTGTGTCTTTTGACTGGGAAGTTCAGTCAATTGGTATTTAAGGTTATTATTGAAAGGTATTGGTTGCCGTCATTTTGATTGCTGTTTGTGTTCTCTGTCTAGTTTTGTGTTTCCTCAATTATATCTTTATTTTCTTTCATTGCCCTGGGGTATAGGTGTTTCTCTGCTCTCTGTATTGCTTCAAGTATTCTTTGGAGGACTGGTTTTGTGGACATGTATTCTTTCAGGCTATTCATGTCATGGAAGGTTTTTCTTTCCCCCTCAACTATAATAGACATATTTTCTGGGTATAGTATTCTGGGCTGGCAGCTATTGTCATGTAGAACTGGAAATACCTTGGTCCAGGCTCTTTTGGATTTCATAGTTTGCACTGGTAAGTCAGCTGCAATTCTGATGGGCTTTCCTTTTTTTATGTGACTT